CCAAGAGTTTAGGTTTAAATACGAGTAGTCGAGCATATTCGAATAGGGATACATAGAGATAGGCACCTACCTAAGATGGAAGTGGATCAGCTGAGGAAAGGCAATACATGGACAACATAGCAGGTTAGTGAGTTATAATAATAATTATAGTAATAATTATATGAATATCAATAAAATAATTGCAGACACAAAAATAACTAAAATTGATATGACTACAACGTTGAAGAAACGTTCGAAAAACCGAAAATTCGTCGATTGAAAATTGATCTGAAGTTAACGTTGAGAAACTAAGTTTAATAAAATCAACATAATGATCTCGTATTTATACATTTGAAATCAACGTTTAATATAAGGTGAGTATCCTACATATAATTTGAATGAATCGATAAATTCTAAATTCACGTTGAAATCTCACGTTGATTGAACGTTGACAAACAACGTTCATTAATTGTTGATAGTGCTAGGTACATTTAATTTGAATGATTCAATCAATTATAGTTTCACATTGGAATTTCTCGCAGATTTTTCGTACACGTATATTTTTATATGTACGAGTTTATTCAACGTTTCTGTTAATAACATAATAATATCGTAATAATACGATCAACAAAAACGTTTTATTAAAAGGTAAGAGAGCTACATATAATTCGAATGATTTTATGAATTATACTTTCTCGTTGGATACTTACGTTGATAATACTCTGAGAAACTACGTTCAATGAGAGTGAAAAATGCTACATATAAATTGTATGGTTTCATGAATTCTTTATAAACGTTATAATTATCCGTTGATTATTCGTACACGTGTATTTTTTTATATACATTTCAGTCCAACGTATCAGTTAATAACATGATGATATCGTATTCATACGTTCAGAAACAACGTTTGATAAAAGAATGCTACATATAATTTGAATGGATCAATAAATACTATTGATACGTTGAAATTTCACGTTAATTACACGTTACACGTTGAAAGACAACGTTTAATAGAAGTTAAGAATACTATACATAATTTGAATGATTTCATACGTTATTTTTACGTTGAAATTTAACAATGATAATTTTTTAAAAAACAACGTTCATTGAAGATTCAGATGCCACATATGATTTGACTAATTCAATAAATTCTATTTATATGTTGAAATATAACCTTGATTATACGTACGAGAATAGTTCATTATATACGTTTTAGTTCAACGTTTCGGGTAATGACATGAACATTTTATATTCATACGTTGAAGAACAACGTTTAATTTTGATTTAATATTTCAAGCGAATGAACGTTATTTCCCGCGACATTTTTACCAATTTTCAACGGTTGGTTATCTAACCATTTCCCAACGTTATTTAATCGTACGTGTGCCCATTGGGTATAGACCTTCAATCGCAGATTCGGGATTATGTTTTTTCAAATCAGAATTTCTTTCCACGTCCTGTATGATAAATTTGTTATAGACCCAAAAATCATTTTTTCTTGTTTATTTATTACGAAGAACTATTGTTCGTTGTGTTGTATTTTCATAAATTCAAATTCATTAGTTGAAACAAATAGAATTCACGAAAAATTTAGTACATCCCGTTTTCCTAGTTCCTATAAATTTTTTTTAGTTGATTCCGAATCTACGATCAGATTGAAGTTGCTTATTATACAAGGTCAGTTACTCTCTGAAAGGTCTGTACAAAATCTTAGGACATAGGTCAAAATTAGCCGATGTGAAGCAACTTACTTTTGTCCGAAATTGCTCCGTTTCCGAGATACAGGGTGGTAAATTTAATAAATCAAAATCAAGAAGTTTTCCCTAATAAAGTATTTTGGGAAATGAGTATTTATACTGCTGATTCACTGACCAAATTACATTCACAAACATAACAGTAAACATGCATTTTTCATTCAAAATAATTAAAATATTCCGGTGCGGCATCGAACACTCAAAACCGAAATATCTCGAAATCGGATCACTTTAGCGAATTGTCACAGGAGTACCTTTTTGATGAAAAATATTTGAAAAATCATTTCATCAACGAAAAGAGTTCAATAGTACATTGAGAAAAAAGTTATGGCCCTTCTTAACCATGAGAAGTGCATTGGTAAGCGCCCTCTATTAACCACAGTGGTAATGTGTCCGTATTCTGGTTCCGCATCCCAGAGATTTCCCTGCTGAAAATTTTTGGAGTGATACGTTCAAAAATGTTCATGAATTCTGAAAAAATTCGATTTTTAATTTTTTAAATTTACTACCTACCCTGTATCTCGGAAATGGAGCAATTCTGGACTGAGAAGAGTTGCTCCAAATCGGCATATATTCAGACCTCAGGAATATGTGCTGCTGCACTTACAAGAACATGAGAAAGAGTCATTTCGGTCCTGATACGAATGTATTTTTCAGTTTTTTTTAGGTTACGAGAGTAAATCATGGATTATTCCTACGAAGTAATCAAAGAGAATGACGAATATTATGTTTTGGTTTCGTAAACATTCATCATATTTCCATTCCTGATGAAATTTAAGTCGACAATTGATGAAAAATATTGAAAAAATAATTCATTACGGAATGACTGAAACTGTGTTCCTATAGTATTTTCTCCGTAGATTTATGATATGACCTCAGATTCTTCATGAATATTATACAGGATGAGTTATTCCCACAATAACTCAAAAAAGGTAAAAACATATGTTCCGGTTCTGATATTGGTTTCGCTCAGGAGGCTTCTTGTTGAATCCTTTGAGTTCAATTCATGTACCAAATTCGAACCCAATCGGGTACCTAATCTCTGTATTTAATATGGCAGATTGAATTTTTGTCAAAATCCTCAAATCACTCTGGGTATCAGTAATGAAGCGGTTTTGGACTTTTGTATATTATGACATTCTGCAATCATATTGGCAGGCCCTATATAAGTTTTGTAAGTTTTATCTCTGGACACCAAGTATTCAACTGACCTCTTCAGAGTAATTGATTCAACTCTGGTTTTCACTGAATGTATTTTGAGAATTTGCATTCCCTTTTGTAGGATATTTTGAGCTCCTCTGTTACAGATTTCATGGAGCTACGAGTGACTGGCATTCGTCGGAGATCATCCTGTATATATTCTTTACATAATTTGGATTTCAATTGCGTGTTATGTTTTGTTGACTTGATGGAAGTTTATTTATTCAGTTTATTTTGAAAATATGCAGGTGGAATGTCAAACAAGTTCTTAGGTTCAAAATTGTAATTTTAATCCTTCTTTTTCTTGTTCCATTGTCTCATGTAGCATTAACCAGTAGTTCAGCGTTCAGCCCTTCAACAAACAGGATCGCGACATTAACATATCAGGGATGATTGACTTCTATAAAGCCTCAACATAATATCTAAGTAGTATGCCGTCAGCGTTTTCTTAGTGTTATTGATCTGTATTGATCATTCATTTGAACCTGGTATCGGTTATTGCAACGGTTGGATCGATTCTGGCTATTTGGTTACTATGATTTTTTGACTTTTATGACATGGACACTTGAATTTTTAACTAGAAGAGAAAGAAAAATTGAAAATCGTTTCTTTCTGCATCTGGCCACCATTGAATGAACTCGTATGTGGATGTCCACTGAATTACATTTTTGATCATCCACAATTTTTCGTTAATAACATCTAACTAGAGTTCTGCCAGACTTCTATCTTACTTTAGCTTTACTTGTACTTCTACTCTTGCTTCTGCTTCTACTTTTCAACTATTTTGCTGAATTCTTATTATAGACTCGAAAGAGTATGCATTTCTGATGATTTGAGGAAACAATCTTCATGGAGAGATTTTCCTGGCTGTTAGAGCCGATTTATTGTTCCTGTTAACACTGGAAAGTTATTGTTGTAAATTTCAAGAAGATATAGATAATTTCGAACTTGATGTCATGAATTCAACGTATTGGCTGGACTAAGCATACATATAGGTCACCTGACGTCTCACCAGACTCGTATGCCCATGAAATCTGGAACCTGGAGCCCAAAATGATGATGAAATTGACCAGGATGTAATTTGGAACCTGAAAATATCAATAAGCTCTGGTCTAACATTTTCTGGCTTATTCACAGTCTTGCTGACATAAGGTATTCTCTGCATATTATAAAGTATTCACTGATCTTTTATAATCTAAAATCGAGTACACTTTGGAATCTAGCACAATTGAAAAATCATTATCAAATATTCCTATATCTGTGAAGGTGTAATGCATTATGTCTGGGGAATATACCATTGATTAGATTTATTCAAAGCCCATGATCATTGTGTCAAGTTTCAATGATAGGAGTTTATTTAACACCCTGTGTGATATATGCATACCCATCAGTTGCATTTCAGTTGCATACAATATCATTTGTGACACATATTACAAATGTTTGTGATGCAGATTTGATACTCCGTCGAATAATATCCTTTTTAGTCAGTAAATGTAAATTTTATTTGTTTGATTTGTTTTCCTATTCTTCAGCACAGGATGGCGTCCAAATAAAATCTTATCTGGTGCAACTATTTTTCTTATGCCAATTGTTATATTTTTGACAATGTTACATAATATGATAAGTAAATGTACCACGATTCATTTGCCCCGACTATATGAGCTGACCGTTCGCACAGTATAACCTGAAATTTCTGAATTCCTCACCTTTAAGGGTTATGGCCAATTGATTGTTTTGTACTGTATATTCATTTACATTTACATATGATCAATAAAGTAGTTAGGTACTTCATTATTATTAAAATTATTATATGTGCAAATAATATATGCACACTGGCGAATAGCGAATGAATATCCATATAGATAAAAAATCATTTCAATATTGTGTATATCAGAGGCTACGATAATTATACAATATATAATAACTTATATCACTCAAAATTGCAATGCAATACAATTAGATCCAAGGAAAAAACTCACCTACTATATATATATGCTTTATTCCAAAGTGATAGGATATCGTTATGGATGATATAATATTCCTCAAAGTTCACAATATTTATTGTAGATCGAAGCTAAAAATAAGGGAATTGATCAATATGGAAAAAGATCAAACGGAATAACAGTAGCCATTAAGGCAGAAGGTATGAATTCTATATATACTTTTATATGAGGTACATCAAAACTGATATATTTTTGTAGCACCCCAACCACCCTATCAAGTTCATCTTTCGTGGAAAGAAAATAATGATTTGAACATTTCATGGTACCATCCCAATGTGACCAATGGACTGTTGAAGAGTTTTGAGGTTCAGTTGAAACCCGCAAACCAGAAAGAAATAACAAGTTATTACCGATTACCATCACAAGAAAACTACAAACTGGTCTACTTCTCTATGGTGAGTCGAGTCGATTTCCATGAATGAATATTTTTGTATATTAACAATTTCGATAAACACTGTGTCCAAGATATGGAGAGGTCTATCATGGGGATCGTTTTCATTTTTTTCTGATGTTGTTCAAAGAGATATATTGAGACAAAAGGCATTTTCTCATTGCCACTTTTTGAACTTTTCAAAACAGCGTTGACAGATTTTCCGAATGACGTTTTGTTTCGGAGAAACCATCATCAACTTTACCCCATGATATAGACATCCTTATCTTGGACACTCCTACACCCCGTATAAATCACGTATCACCACGAAAGATTACAGTATAGTAGGGATATTCGAGTCCGAGTAAAAATATCTCAAACTCAAAATAGGCCATTCAACTATGCACATACAGTGGGCTCTGGATTCTGCATTCTGGACTACAGTTTTCAGGTGGATCTATCAATGCCACATATCACGAGTTTGCTCATCTCTTGTAGTCTTACTCTTCTGATGAAGACTGGAATATTCTTGATAGTTGTTCTTTCCACTTCTGGATATGTTATACAATGTGTTCTCGAAGGTAAGGTATTTTTTTGAACAGGAACTCATCAAAATAGACAATATCACCCAAAATTGCCCATTTATTCATTGAAAAATATCGATGTTCAAAAACCCACCGACGGTTGGCCCTATCACGGTCCTAGTATATACACAAAAATTGTTTCAAGTTATCACCATTCGTGTGATAAGCGCTCTGTGTTGCTCGGCTCAACAATGAGTCACTATAGATACAAAAAAACCTTTTCTTTGCCTGCGAATAACGTCACATTTTTACATTCGCTATCTCGATTCATTCACGGTATCCATTCCTCCATCACACACACATCTTCGAGTGATTCGAGCAAGTTATTACAAATTCTATAGTAGTTTACCTAACAAGTGCGAAAAAGTCACTTCACGCACGTGTTAGGTACACTATTTTTTCTACTAGCGTGCGGAAAAAACCCAAGTGTCAACATGAAGAAACATTAATTATTAAATACATAGTTCGCAAATTAATTATTATCAATATTAATATTTAACGTGCAATTTGTTGCATTCTGCAAATCAATTGCAGAAGCTGAAGTTTTTTCTAATGAAGTAATATTGCGGTTTTCCATTGCATTGTCAGCAACCGTGGCCATCGGAACTTGGCTGGAAGAGGTCATTTCGGAAGGCTTCACTGGTAACAGCTGCTGACTAGTGGACGGGCCAGCGACAGCGTCACTGAAGTTCAATATTTTATTCGATAGGCCCTTTTGGAAACTTGGTGAGCTTTTTACATAACCTTCTGCGACGCTGGAAGATTTCCAACTTCCGAGGCGTTCAATATTTGTTGTTCCTTCTCCGGAATTTGCAAGCATTGTGGCGGCGGAACGTCGGAAACAAAGGCCCGTATATAATTCAGGATTTTTCCGAAGGTGTTTATTCTAATACATTGTGAAGTGCAAGTTCCGTTCTTATAGTTCACGAAAAATCGCTTATGTTCGGTTTCAGGATTTCTTTAACTCATATACCTTCTGAACAAATTGAGCAATTTTCCATTTTCATCTTCCTCAGAAATCGCAAAGCTTCTTCTGATGGAAGAATGGTTTTTTGTGTCTGGGATATTCATCAATATAATATTCCCTTCGTCATCAATATGATCTAAAGACATCTTTGTTAATTCTTCTCGTCTACATGCGCCCGCCAAATCAAAAATCTTAGCGACTTTTATATGAAGATGAATTTTGTCAGGTGCTTCATTCATAAACTGGAATATTTCTCCTTTCAGGAAAATTTTTGCCTTTTTTGGCCGAAATCCAATATCTGTTTTTTTATATATACCATGACCTTGAAGAACTTGCTCGAATCGAGGTTTTTTTTTTAGTTAGATTACACTTTTTAACATTGAGTACCTGGACCAAAGAGTGTTTGGCTTGCATGTTTTGGAAATTTCAGCGAAACAAGTAAAAAAAAACGTCTTCTTTGAAACTTTTGATTCCCTTATTCTGAAACCAGTTTTCAAATAAATCATATTCCTTTTCATACCTGTGACGGGATTTTGATGGTAGTAGATCCAAGTTTGCAGTTCTTACCGCTTCCAAAACTGCCTCTGGCAAATCTTCGTCTGAAGAATCCATGGAAAATTATATCACTCGAGAATGCTGGCAACAGTAAAATTGGTTTTGACAAGATAGTGTTTTGAGTGGCAGGTTTATTTTTCTATTGTTGCTACGGTGATTCAAAATGACAAATTAAAAATGTCAGATGTTCATTATTATTTGACATTCATTTGATGAGGCTAATACCAGGGCCTTTGAAACTTATTGAAACATACGTTCCTTTTTATCCAAAATTATAGCAAAATTCTAATAAAATTCCTCATTTATGTCATTATGTAAATTAGAATCATACAAATATAAATCTTGAGTATTCAAATTTCAGTGTATTCCCTTGAAATTTAACAAATCCACTTTTCCGCACTGAGTGTGGAAAAAAGTTTTTTCCGTAATCGTGCGCAATCAATCAACAATCCACAACAAAACAAATGAGAAATCGGATCCGATGACTAGTGCTAGAAAAAGAAAAATCTACTGTGGTCGGTATAGTAGGGGGATAGGGGCTCAGTCGGGTAATCACCTTTCAAAATTCATGAAATGTTCAATTGATATATAATCTCCGTTGATATGCAACTTATTTCCAGGCAATATCTGGTATATCAATATATTTCAATGAATTCAACATGCCTCACATTTGAGAACACCCTGTATATATGTCTGATCTGAGTTCACTATAGACGAACCAGTACTTTGCCAATTTTGTTGAAGTATAGTTCCTTACTCTGTGGATTATCCTCGAAGAAAACTTGTGATGAGCAATATTCCGAACTGGTTTATTGAGGTCGAGTCGATGTTTCGTCTGGGATTTTCTTCAGTAGTTCATATTTCTTTTAATAGTTCCAATCAGTGCCATGAAGGAGTTTCAACCAACCTTGCTAAACAATTCACTTCCTTCAGTCACACGGCCAGTCACATATCTTTATTATTTTCCTGTAATTTAAATCAGTTTGACTTCATTGTTTTCTCCCAGTCGGAGTCATTTTTTCAAGTTACAATCATTTGATTTGGAATACATTATATTCATTGTTGGCATACCTGCAAAGGCATTTCGTATACCAGAGAGCAGTGGAGGATTTTTGTGCTATGAGGAAGTGTGGATTTATGCAGCGTCATTAAACATGTATCATGTAACAGTTATCATTATAATTTCATATTTTCCAATGACTGTGTTTATGCAGACATTTGACAATTATCATTTATCATGTAACATGTAGAATGTTGGCCACTTTTCAACTTCTTACATTGAATGAACCAGATTTTCCTATTGTGCGCAACCTTGTACGCAAGTTATCTCGGATTGGTCCGCCTGGTAATGATATTAAACAAGGATATTAACCTGAAAATTGAATGTCATTCACCACTATTTTTGTTTGATTGTGAGTGTTGTTGGTGTGAATCGGACAAAAAATGAAATCAGATGTTATGGATATTGATGATGCCATTCTTGTGGATCTTGTCAGACAGTTTCCTTTTATATATGATAAAGGGAACAAGGATTTTGAGGACAAGAATATGAAGGAGAATGCATGGAGCACCATTGCCTCAACTTGTGAATGAAAAAAATCCCTCATGATCTTGCAAAATCATTGATTTTACAAGATTTTCAAATATTCCTTTTTCTTTTCTATCCCTATTTACAGTCTTTACAGCCCATTTCCTTTTCCTCTTTGACTTCAACAGGAAAAAACTGGCCGTCAACAGCATCATCAGGACAAAAAGCGTTTCTGCCTCTTCCATTTCAGGAAACAAATGTTTATATGTTTATAACATTTGAGAATGTATTATTTTTTTTACATAAAAAAAGGAGGGTTAGGTTGCAAGGACTAAGGACTAACTTGTGCGCAAGCGTTTAATTTCTTATTGAATGTTAATTTGGTCTGCATAGATGGTACCATTTTCGCTGCTTGTTACATGATAAATGTTAATTGATAATAATTGTTACATGATACATGTTAAATGACGCTGCATGAATCCACACTAAGATTGTTCTACTAAATCCTAATATACTATACTAGGAATCCAGCAAAGGCAGTCAATCTACTGTGCTGCCGAGTTGAACATATGATTTTTTCTCTAATTGTTCATAATGATATGGAAGAATATTGTGTGTGCTGATTAATACAATTCCCACAATCTCTTTATTCTTCCTGTATAGTGTTCAATTAAAATAAAATTTGATAGAAATCGCAGTTGTTGGTTTGACAATTCATGAAATTCTGACAGTTGTGCGAAACAATATCGGTATATTTAAATTATTATATAATGGACAGTGATAGCGACCTGGAAGTATACTTACACCTCCATTAATAAGGGAGGTGGCAAAAAATATAGAGTTGAATTTGTTGCCGAAGAAGTCTCGGATGAAATATAAAGGAAATTATAAACGATTTATGGATTTTTAATTTTGCTGATACATATCAATCAGCAAAGTAACCACTTTGCTGCCTAGGCAGCAAAGTACCCACTTTGCTGCCTAGGCAGGAAAAGTGATACTTTGCTGATTGATATGTGTCAGCAAAATTAATATTTGCTGCCAATCGGAGGAAAACAATGTTTTCGTATTTTGAAATTCGGCTATTGATTGAATACGGGAAAACTATATGCTGTTTCTTCAATTTTGTATTTCGCTCTTTCATTGATTGTTCAATCAAAAATTTAAAAAAATGACTTGTCATCAGTAGGCTGTCATGGAAGTCATGATATTTCCATATTCAGGAATGAGTAACACCTTACTTCAGCCAATATCATGATAAGCAGTCACTATTAATTTACTATTACTATTAATTTTCTTTTTCAAAAGAAATAATCATATTGCGCGTTATATGCTCGTGTGTTTTCCGAGCATCATAATTATTTTCTCAATATAGAAGAGATTCATATCTCGAAAATTATCAATTCACTCGTTGTATTACCTATATACTCTAATCCTATGACTCCACATTCAGGGGTAGGAGAAGAATCATCGTTTCATAGAGAAATTATTATTTTCAGATTGAAGCAGCTTCACTCGAGATGTGTACGAAGTATAAAGTGGCAATAAGATCTCACAACGAGCATTTTCCCAGCATCCTCACACCTTCATATGACATCATTACGCCTCCTGCATTGCCTGCAGACATTCCCAAAGAAAACATACAATACAACAGTACCAACACCACCATAACCATCAGAATAGAGTTTCGAGTATACGAAGACAGGTTTCACAACGAAAACATTTATGTCATTGTATCCAAGTATGGAGAAACAGAAGACTTACTAGAATTTACCAAGAGCTTGCAGGATGGAAGGGAACCCGTCCTGCAAAAGTCCAAAGTAGTATTGAAATCAAAAGGAATGGACTATCCAAGCATTTTCGTGATTGGCGAACAATTTATGAATTCTACTAGTCTTTCTAACCCACCTTTGGAACCTGGCACCAATTACAGTGTTGCTTTTATATTCGTAAACGAGTGTTACAATGTGAGGAGGCTAAAAATGATACAGGAATACATGAAAACGATAGGTGATGAATACAAAGACGATGTGAGACTCTGGGCGCTGATTCTTCTTATGTTCATACCTTTGTCAGCATTTGGATTTTGGTAATTTTCTCTTATCATTCAATCTGTGAATTCTGTCTCAATCGTCTGTGTTCCAGGTATATTAAACATAAGCCACAATATGTTGAAACGACAGTAGGACAAGGTAGGTTGTCTTATAGCACGTAGAGGCGCTCCATTTGAATTCGTTTCTAAATTGACAGTCATACTTGTTAAAGACCAGTGAACTCCAGGATGGGCTATATTCTTGATTGAAGATATTTTCATTTTCAGAAAGAGATTCGCACGTGTATGAAGAACCATTGAATGTGCAAATATATGAAATTCCTTCGAGACTCAATGCAGTAATTCCAAAGGAATCCGTACCCACGGTGAGATAACGTATATTTTAGAATTCTATATACAGTTGGAATAGTTTTGATATGGTTCAAGGACATTGGTCTCGAAACGTTTTATTGACCTGTATACGAACGTTTTTCCAATTTTGTATTTTTGGCTTGATGATAAGGAATTGAACCGAGATATAAAGATGGAAAATAATGCATTCTCAACGAATACGAACTTTTTGAAAAGACCAAATTATTATTGATTCATGTAAAATTTTCTAGTACCTAAAGGTTCTGCGAACAAAATACTCGAAGAAGATAAAATTGGTTGATTTTGTGGACTATGTTAAAGTAGCAGTAGACAGTATGGAATTGGAAAATCAGCATGATGTGAGTTCATTATGAGTTTTTGATTGTTTAAATAATCAACTTTTATTCTTCGCATTTTCGCAATTGTCGATCTGAATGAAAACCTAGTAGGCGACCTAGTAATAGCTCTTGCCTACTAACTGCCTAACTAAGTTGTCATCTAGATCGACAATGGCTGGCCTAATGCAACTGATGAGTCTTGGCAAGCCTAAACAGCTGACAATCGATTCACACAATTCCTCTAGAGTCTCTTAGTTTTGAGTTTCGAGGTTTCTGAAAATATTCTGGTCTGACGTTTTCATCATCATCATCATCCTCAATTATAGGATGGTGCAAATGGAAGTAATACATTAATTTCTTGCCGAACTGTCCATTTTTGAGGAATTGCCTAGAACACGTCAGTTTATTTTTATTTCACACATTTCTGAGTGAAAATTCGATATACAGGGTGATCCACGTTTGAGTTCTGATATCCGCGACAATTTTATCAAACTAAACACCCTATATTTATTCCATTTCTGAAATCTCCATGAAGAGCTGGATTCAAGAATATATTACACATAGGGTTTGTATACAGTGCGTCCATTAAATTGAGTGCACTTATGAAGTTGTGGATTACATTCATTTTTAGCTCAACTATCAATCTCTCAAGAATCTCCTAGAACACGTCAATTTTTATTCTGAATTTGTTACATTCATAAGAGAGAATCAAAGATACAGGGTGATCCACGTTTGATTTATAACGTCAGCGACAATTTTTCAAACAGAACAACTTGAATATCATTCAATTCGTTTAATCTTTATGAACAGCTGAATTCAATATTATATCACACATAGAGTTTGTGTACATTGCGTCCATTAAATTCAGTATGCTCTCGTGAAATGGGGTCGCGCTATATATGAGAAATATACGTGTTATATATATTCCACCTACGGCCACTATAGAAAGTAGGCAAGAACATATGAGATACAGCCTCAGTAAGTAGCTCTCCACGCACAGTAGGCACAAGAACTGTCAAGAATTATAATTCAGACTGTTTCTCCAAACTTTTTTGATGCACTATATGGCAGTAGGTAAAGTATAGTACGTAATGCAAGCAATTACGCACTCATGGAATTACGTAACTTTTCCATTCGTTCGTAATCATGCTATTCAGCTCCCCATGGAGATTCAAAAAATTGAATAAAATATAGAATGTTCTGTTTGGAAAAAATATCGTCGACGTCAGAACTCGAACGTGAATCACTCTGTTTATTCCATTTCCATTAATAAATGTGGAAGATTGAAAAAAGAAATCGACCTATCCCAGGAGATTTCTCAGGAATTAATGGATTTGCTATAAATGATTTTATTCACTACTTTACGAAATTTAGTGAACGCACAATATACAAATTATTCGTGATATATTTCTGAATTCAGCTTTTCATGAAGATTCCAAAAATTTAATGATATATATGGGATGTTCCATTTGATAAAATTGTCGCGAACTCAAACGTGAGTCACCCTGTACATTCAATTTTCACTTATTAATGTGAGGAAATGAAAATAAAAATCTACATGTTTCAGAAGATTTCTCAAAAATGGACAGTTTGGATAGAAATAGTATTATTTTCATTTGCACCATACCATACTGCATATTATTATGTCCATATTATTGAAATGTTTCTACTTCTAAAAAAAACTGTTTCTCAATGCATTGAAGTTTGTCTTTCTGTACATACGTGGGTGTAATCACTTTTTATTTTCAAGCTGTTTCCCAGAGGATTATTCCAAAAATGTGAACGGGGATCATTGACACAAAATAAATCAAAGAATCGGTACCAAAATATCATAGCATGTGAGTTGTTTGTTATGAGAATGAGGGATCATAATCGATTTCAATATTCGTCATTTTCAGATGATCACACCAGAGTGGAGCTTGAAGAAATTCCTGGAGATGAATATTCTGACTACATCAATGCAAATTATATAGACGTTAGTTGTACAGAAATAATTTCGTAATTTGATATTCCGAGATCACACACAGAGAGTAAGAAACTTCAGAGGGTGATTTGTAAGGTAGGTAGTTTCAAGAAAAAAGAACATATCATGAACATAATATGCCGAAGTTGCGTGGATTCTGAGATGCGGGGCGTTGAAGTTCCGGTTGAAATTTGGTAGGTACCTAGGTACAGTTATTTGAAGTAATAAGGCGCTAATTTAGCCCTAACTGAATCGAAATTATTAGGTCTAATAACGTTTCAGTGGGCACCACAGCCAGTAATATTTGGGAAAATCAGTTCGCCACTGACCTTCTTCGTATTATTCAGTTTTTTAGATTGAAAAACTCAAAATACGAATGTTTTGTCTCCTGTGTTCTTTCCATATCTAGCTTCGTTTTCGAGAAATAATATTGAAGCCACTCTATTGCATTCATGAACATGTGAAATAGTAATTTTCGTTGCTTATTTGAAGAAAGCCTCATGTCAAAAAAATACCACTAAAAATGTTCAACCATTTCACATCATCTGTTGTTATTACCATATTCATGATGTCAGAGTGTACCATGAAAAATAAGTGTTAGGTATCCATGCATAACTAGTCTTTCAAACACTTGAGGCCGTCGTGCTCTGAAAATTGCGTGTATTTGAAAGACCTTAATATATCTATTATATTATTAATATCGAACAAACATCTCGCCAATTTGTCTCCAATTTGGCAGGTACTTACTCTGATGATTCTTCTTTCAATTCGAGCTAGTAATTAAATTGTAAAGTCTATGCGAAGTCAGTTGGAACGAAACATCAAACCGCAGGCCGTCGGTCCCTTTGAAAGTTCAAAGAGAGTGGCAGCGCGGCCGACATTCCTCTGATGATCATGCCTCAATTGACTTGTATAGACAATACTTATTCTGTTCAGGGGCGTTATTCGGAGACAATTCACGAAAAAAATAACATGCGCCGGAAACTGAAATTCAATAGTTCCAGCAAAAACGTTCTGCTGCTACAGATAGTTAAATATTTATATACCGGGTGGCTACGGAAGTATTGCCTACGGAATATCTCAGTTATTGTATGAAGTAGGTTTGTGAAATTTGGAGCGTCGATATAATGACATAAGAGCTAGAATTTGAGCATATTGACATGTCGAAGTCAACTTCCGGTCTGACCGGAAGTAACATCAACTTTCTTATTTTAAATGGAAACCCAATTTTTTTTTCTTTTCGCTTTATTCAGCATTCAATTCCCTTTCTAATGACATATCACAAGTTGGTATCTAACCAGAAACTAGATCAGAAAAAAATTATTATTGAAATTCACCGAGTAGGCCGTGGAAGCAAAATGAAAGCCAAAAAATGACTTTCTATTATATCATTAGAAAAAAATGATTATGCTGAATAGTACAGGCAAGAAAAAGTTGTATGTTCCTATTTAAGTTATGGACCTACAGAGTATTGTTTTTTTCCCAATTTTTCCAATATTTCTTTTGGCGGCTTTTTATAACGCCGACGAATGAAAATAAAATATCACAGTAGTACCAACTGTTATCAAGTGACGTATGGTTTCCATAGCCAACTTTTCAATTTTTGGCTTTCATTTTGCTTCCACGGCCTACTCGGTGAATTTCGATAATAATTTTTTTCTGATCCAGTTTCTGGTTAGATACCAACTTGTGATATGCCATTAGAAAGGGAATTGAATGCTGAATAATGCGAAAAGAAAAAAAAAATAGGGTTTTCATTTAAAATAAGAAAGTTGATGTTACTTCCGGTCAGACCGGAAGTCAACTTCGACATGTCAATATGCTCAAATTCTAGATCTTATGTCATTATATCGACGCTTCAAATTTCACAAACCTACTTCATACAATAACTGAGATATTCCGTAGGCAATACTTCCGTAGCCATCCGGTATATTCCCCACCCCAGATCAGTATCATTATCACTATGTATTTAATAGTGAAGATCACGTGAAGCTGAACCATCGACGATCCCCCCTTTTCATCTCATGTTCAGTTGAGGATTTTGGGACTTCCTACACGAGTGCACAGTGTGCAAAGCTTTACCGCGGTGTAATTTCCATCGAATTTCAACAAGAACCAATTCACATGCATTGAATAATCGTTCAAAATCATCAATTTCCACTGAAAATTAAAATTTGATTGGTGACGCCGCTGCATGCGAGCACAAATTCTGCCACTACTGGCCAGTCTGTATTGTCAAAATGAAAGCACTTCTTTTCAATCATTCTAATTAAAATCTAGTTCTAGTAGTCATGACTGGGACTGCGCGATATCAAATTTCACATATCGATGCATTGTCAACAAATTCATTTTCATTGCCGGCGTGGAGGATTATAATTATTTTGCCTCTCGAACTCGGACCACTCACAATACAGTTTTTGATATCATCTACCCAACCGTATCGAACAACGTCATGAGTGTCAAACCACGTTTCATCTAGATAAATAGATTATAGTTCTATTCGCTTCACGGAATTCCCTTATTTTACGTAGATATTCTTGCCGATGGTCTACGATGCGTCTTGATTCCATAATAACCATCCTTTTGTCTAATTTTTTATGGCTGAACCCGCAATCTAGTGAAACATTTCACAAACGTACTCAACGATTTGTGATTATAATCCGCGTATTCATTCAACTCATCCCTGATATCTGGCAATGTTGGCACCTCATTCTTATTATAAAATCTATATACAATTCGACGAATAACTTCTTTCTTTCGAAGCATTATCAAACTTCTTGAGTTTTTGTCCCACTCTTTTTCGTTCTACTTCATGATCTACAACATCTCCGGTTCTAATAACTCTGTATATGGTGGTATAGCTTATTATAGTTAATTCCTGTATTCTCGTCACAAGTTGGTTTCCTGAAGAAACATTATTCTCGTCCTTGTGACGCGAATAGATATTCAAAATTACCCTTTGCGTTTGAATGTGTAAGTCTTTATTGGCGAACTCCGCTTGCTCTTCCTTCGAATCACTATCACTCACTTCGTTGACTTCTTCAAAAGGCCTTCAGAACACAAAACCACTATGATTGAGATAATGAATTTTCTGAATTTCGAGTTGAACCAATGAAGACAACCTAGCTCGTACCGCACTGCCTAGCGCAGGCTGGAAGATTCTTATCACACAGGAGGCCGCCCATGCAACTCTGACCAATCAACATCTAGTAAAGTTTGGAGTAACCAATGAGACGCTGTTTCTAGCATGACATCGCTTGTCCAGTCCACGTTGACTGCACAGGCTGCATACTGGGAAAGCTCAGTAGAAAATATCTCATTCATTCCTATTACAATGTTGATCAAATCGACAAATCTTCGTATCGTCCTTAAAAACGGAAGTTTTTCAACTGACTTCGTATAATACATATATTGATTCATTGCGAATAGGTTGCCTACCTGAATCAAGTGTGGAAGATACTGAATAATTAGTTTTTCAACTGACTTCGTAATCTTCGTATAATACATATATTGATTCATTGCGAATAGGTTGCCTACCTGAATCAAGTGTGGAAGATACTGAATAATTAGTTATTTTTGTATCTAAAAAGCGAAATGCTACGTTGGTGATCGAGATCTGATTTTTCAACCGAGGCGTAGCCGAGCCAGTTGCAAACAACATTTTTTCTACAAACGTCAAAATATATAGTTCTAAAGTAAAAATATGCTTAGCTTGATATAAAAAATAGTGTTGAACTGGCTTCAAAGGCCTCCCTCAATCCTCCCTATAGGTAAGCACGATGTTCCACGAACATAATAGGAATTTCCTTTCGTGCGCTCAAAGAGATAAATAAAGTTATTGTTGAACATTCAGAAATGAATGTTTTCGTGGATGTTCGCTCGATTGAGGACCATAAAGTTGAAATATATATATCTCATATATTTTACATAACAATGTGAGAAGTATGTACTTCGCGCATTGTTCTGTGCAAGGTATCATGATAACGAAGGAAACTGAAAAAAAGTGTCACTCCGCAATTTGTTATCAATGCGCGAACCTTGTCATTTTTGACGTTTGTAGAAAATAGTTATTTATACACCATGGTAGTGAAGAATATCATTATTACTCAAGGACAACGATTATATCCCGAGGCTTCAGCCGAGGGGTATATGGTCCCGTGGTAATGATATTCTTTACTACCAAGGTGTATATTAAATTTTTTGCAACACATGCAATATATTTCAATCATTATCGTTCTGTGAAACTGATACTAGATTCGAGTTCCATTTCTGCGAATATCGCATTGAAGCAGTGAATTTGGGTAGATTATAACAGAGGTGGCTATGTCTTTATCGACCAGTGGTTCATAAAATGACGAAAACTACCTTGGTAGTAAAAACACACTTTACGACTCGAAAAGAAGTGAATAATGGTAGGTTCTACAGCTAGTGGTGGAACAATAGTAGATTGTTTTATTAGGATCAAAAGTGACACTTCGTTTGACAAGCGAATTTTGCATTTGCGAGGCGGAGCGTTTAGCGAAGCCGAGCGGAAGCAAAATTTGCGAGTCGAACAAATTCACTTTTGATCCGAATGAAACATGCTATTTTTTCTGCAACCGAAACAATTAACTCAAATAAACATGTGAGGTAACCACCAATGCCGTGCCATATGTATGCAATGCAACAAATATTGACAAATAATCCATGTGGTAAGAATATTCTACCTGCATTAACAGCAGGTTAGGTTTTCATGGATGTTCGAATTGTAGTTTCAATATAAATACAACCACAGAGTGACATATTTGTGTATGGACCAGGTGCTCTAATGGCAAATACCGCACCAGTGCCAGCTATAGGAACAAGACGTGGAAAATGTTAGGTTATAGTGAGCATATCAACAATGATAACAGTGATTATTTATTCCTCTTCATACTACACTGTGATTGACTTGATCATGATGAAAATAGACTCCACCTTTGACTTGATAATCAAATGAAGCTAAACAATATCGTTGTTTGAGACAAAAAACT